TTTTTTTTTTTTTTTTTTTTTTAAGTATGACGACCAAAAATTGGACGCCCAGAGGAGGCCTCAGAAGTGATAAACTGAATTTCTCAAGTTTCCTTAAAAACCATGCATAAATTCAATAAAAAGAGCTTCTTTGACTGAACACTGAGACTTTTGTCTATGCTGCACAAGGGGGGAAAAATTCAAGTAGAAGCAAGGCAGACTGAGGTAAGATACTGCTTCTGTTTATTGAAGAAAAAAAACAGCTGTGCCTTACAGGGTCTCAGGCAAAAGTGGCCACACTAAAAACACTGTTCCTCCAGAAAAGACCGCTTGGGTCAGAGGCTGCCTTGCATAGCAAGTTCTGCCCAGCACCAAGCATATTCTTAGCGCTTAAATACCAGCTCTGAAAATGGCAGATCACAAGTAAATCGCTGGAGGATAGCCAAACAAGTATAGGGCCTACACAAACTTCCTGTAACTTTAAAAATAAGGATACACGCATCTTAGCCAATAGGCAGTTCCCATGTTACACCCCACTCAGCCTTCCACCAATACAGAAAACAGAGAGAGGGCCTGCTTTCTTTGCCTCCGGGGGATGTGTTACAGAATCAAAGCCCCTTGCCCACACAGGAAGGAGTACAGCAATGTGTCAGAGCTGGAAAATAGCTTCCACTTTTGGTGGAAGGCCATCAGATAAAGGGAGATCATTAAGTTCCACTTAATCTTTACACAAGTTTCACAAAGCACAGGAAGAGAACAACTAAATTGGAAACTAAAACCACACAAGCAATTTTAGAAATGGTTCTAGCTTTCTAAAAAAGCATATAACAAAAACATAAAAGGTACAAGAATGGTAAAAGATACATTACAAGAGCCATTACCACACCAGGAGAAGGCAAAAGAAAGGAGCTCCTTAATACATTTAGAGATAGCGGCGTTTGAGATTTTCTGCACTAATTATTTCCTCCCAACAATTAGAGGACAGAAATGGGAACTAAGACTCCCAGACTATTACATATTCTACTGATATGCTACATGACTTGCTCTGCCTAAAATCACAGCCTGCATTTTAGTTTCTAGAAAGTAGAAATAATCTTCAGGCATGCCATGAAGCTTCATGTTTATAATGATTTGCAATCCTCAAATGAAAGGCACTATAGAAGTGCACAATATTATTATGAACAAGCATCAAGCCCCTTCTACTCTTCTTTGACTAATCCTCATGCCTGGAGTCAGTACAACACTTAATCATTTTCAGGATCCAGCTATGATGCCACACGAAAAGGATGACATAATTTGAAAGAAAATGCTACCAAACAAGATCAGATTAATTCTCTGAGTAAGAAATCCAGTAAACCATAAAGCAAGATAGGAGAGTTGTAAAACAGCAGAGTTCTTCCAAAAATACCATTCAACATTTCCTCTAAGGTGTCAATAGAACTTTCATTATCAATCATTAAAACCAAGCTGACAATTGTTAACCGTTGTTTTAGAAAAACAGAAGTGGTGAGCTTATCTCAAAGGGATGCACTTTAACTTTAGAGCCCCACGTTAGGATTTTTTTTAATTCTTGAGGGGGAAATTTTAATTTATTCAATTTAAGAGGATCAGAAGGAAGAGAAAGATCATTTCCCCTCTTTAGACATACACTCAAACTATAACATCCCGTATGTGGTTGAAGAAAACACTCAAAATCATCCCAGTTCTACTTCTAGGTCTGCTTTTATACATAGCACCACGCACCTTGCTGGCTTTCCCCAAGTATTCATACACACTACGATTATAGCATACTACAGACATTTAGTTAGTAGTAAATGGTTGAAGGTGCTCTACCTGACTGGACTGTCATCATCAGCATCTCCGGTTCCAGCAGAGTCATGTTGATCCCTTTTTCAACAGCCACAATCCATTAAAAATAAGCAAGTCAGATGGAGGAATCCTACCTCAAACTTGATCAAACCTTCTGTGAAATGCACATCTTTAGATGCCACGCACTCAGGTCACTGAGACAACGTGTCTCTTTCCCCCATGCAGTTCCCGGCTTATTCACCACACATGCAAGTTGGGACAGCCCAGAATCAAATTACTACTAGGAAGAAAATGAGAAATACTAGGGCTGGAACTCCAGATGCATGGTTTGCAACAATGAGCTCCACCCCACATTGCTCTGGTGGATGGGGGGTACAGACTCTAGAAAGTACACTGTTGTTTTTTTTCCCCACTTTTGAGAAAGGTATATGAAGTTGTCTGTGAGCTTTCAATCCTCTACAGGGCTCTGCTGATGAGGCAGTTTCATTGCAAGAACAAGACGACTCTGCATTAACATAAACAGTCTGAACTAGGAAACAGACAAAAAAATACACTATACATAACCCACCAGTCTGAGACACATTACTTCATTCTTCAAGAGATGTGAAGAAATAAATCTAGGAAGTTGGTAATGTTGTTCCCATTCCCTTTCTGGCTACAGAACTTGAGGCACTAAATGCCAGGTTTAGAACGTTTAGTAGAATTAAAAGTTAGTTTAAAAGGGGGAAAAAAAGGTGGTCCTCGCTCTAATCTTTTCCATTCCAGATCCTGGACCCCTTCCAATACTTTCAACCCTAAAGGTAAAAAATTAAACTGCTTGCCAGGCTCAGATGATACAGGCAATGTGGCCTGGAATGGAAGGTGGATCTTTTATTGTCAAAATGTTGCCTGAAGATTTAAAAGATAAGTTGACCCATCTTTACTCACTGCATCTGCACTCACTCCTAACAGAGGCAAAATACAATTTCACTCTCTAAGGAGAATGGCAAGTAATTTGCTAGCTAGATAATTTAATTCAGTGAACCACTTCCAACTTCTGTCCCAGGAGCAGCTCCTCCCTTGTGTCTAATCACCCTCCCCTCCACCCCCAAGCTTACTGACAGTACCCATTAAGTCATTTGCCAGTAAATACAAATATTAATTTCTGCCTTACTCAAAAAACATTAAGAACCAAATGGACAAATATATGGTCTCCCTTTCAAGCAAGGCGCTCTGTGGTTGGCCAAATTCTCCTTTAGACAGAACCACATTGACAAAGGAACAGCTTCACACCCCTTGTGTTCCGACTCCTAACCACCGATGAACTTAAAATAGCTTCAGAGATGCTCTAACGCTCAAATGCAACAGGCCCCCCACAACAGCTGCTCCACAGCTGAGAATAGCCAGAACGCAGGAGGTTGTTGCAGCATTTCCAGAATGGCAAGAGGCAGTTCAAGGTGCATTCCAGCTTCTTGAAATAACCCAGGGTAGCCCCCTGAGCTAGTGGCATTCCAACAGGGCTGCTGCACTGGTTTTCCAGCCCCTTTGCCCTGATAAAGTAGCATAATGGGATCAGAATGCAGACACAGTTTGGTTCCAAAACACCAGGTTCAGCCTAAATACCACTCTATGTAGTTCTAGTGTCCAGGCTTACACTATATGAAAATGCAAGTTTCAAAGCAAAGACTGTACAGCAGAGATGAAGTGGGAATCCGAACCTTGAGAATTTGCCCAGGGTTCGTTCACAGAAGCATCTCGCAACAAAAAACCAGAACACCCTCTGGCAGCAACGGAGAAGCCATTTCCAACAAAAATGTTGTGAACTTTTTTGCTTGGAGTGATGGAGAGGAAGCAGTTCCCTTCCTCTTTCAGAAAGCATGCCCTTCCATACTCTGGAAAGCATTATTTTGCATCCTGCAAGTTACTCAAACATGTTCTCAAGTCCTCAATATGGTGCTGGGCATATTAATCAGACATGCATAAATGGATACTGGATTCAAGTTTCTGTTCTCAGCCTGGAGCTATGAGCATCATTGCCATAGGCTAGTGCAGTAGAACGGGAATTATTCACATCCAGGTGTTTCTCAGCCTACTTAAATCTCCAGCAGTTTACCTTGCCAGCCACTCAACTTTTTGCTGCAGCTTTTACTTCAAAGAGCACTGTTTCTTTACTCAACTGGATTACAGCTGCAGCCCTGAACTGCTGATGGAGAAGGGGTGCCCTCTGAAATAAAAACCAGAGCAAATACCTGGAGTACCACAGTGGTCCAACGCATCTGTTTGCTGCAGCTGTACATACCCCCAAATATACCACAAACTTTGATCTTCACAAGGAGAATAACCCTGCAAGTATCCAGATTCTACCATGCAGCTTCAGAGGTGGTGGTGTCAGGTAAGTGCCACTTTGCACAAAGAAGACAGCTTTCCTGGAGGTACAGAAGTTTGCCTGGTGTCTTTGTTCAGAGCTTCCCTTCCCCACACTTTTGTACAGCACTGCAGTGTAGAACAATGCAGAAATCATTCTTCGAAGGAGTGCTATATACCAGGGCAAGGTATTAAAATCAAGAGAGCAGTGCTCAACATTTTGGCCCTGTGCCAACCTGCACATCCAGCCCCCAAGCACCAGGAATCAGGGCCTTCACCACCTTATGTGCTCAATCTAACACGCAGCAGCACAGCCAACGGGGCTCTCCATGGACCCATGAGGAGCGCTATGGACTGGATGACCCTTCACCAGAGCCTCGATCTGGCCCATGGGCCAGAAGTTGAGCACCATGATCCCAGAAAAAGGCCACTGCTCGAGGCTTGGATTTAGTTTGCACTGTATTAGCAGCCAATTGCTGCTGCATAATGATGTAGTTATCTTGGGCAGAGAAGCCACTAGCCCATTTGATTAAAACAGGCCAAATGTCATCCTGCAAAGATTCTGTTTTCCCCCAAGGAGGATTTCTGATCGTCTGTCCTGCCATTATCGTCAATTATTACTTACCACCAAAAACTATCAGCAAATTCCTAAAATTAATTACTTCCCAATTCTGGTACTGGCTTAGTCAAGACAGTGAATTCAGTGCATTCATTAGGAATTTAAGTACATAGTATATCACCTTGATACTTCAAAATGTAAAGGCAAATGGAGACATGGGGAGAGTGAAAAAACAGGGGCAGACAGAAAATAGTGGAGAAGGCAACTACAAAACTTGGCAAAAGCATTAAAGCACCACCATTAACTTAAGTAGAAGCAACCAGCTTGACATTGATGGCAAGCTCAATAAAGCCACTACATTCGTTGTTGAAAGTAGCCCTTACCATTACCTAAATCTTCACTGTTGCCTCAGCACTATTTAAGAGCTTTTTTTTTTTTTTTTTTTTTTTTAAAGGTTTTTTAATTTTTTTGTCAAGAGATTCCCATTTCCAGGCCATTTAATAACCCCCCAAGAGATGGTTATTTTCAGTAAGAACTGGACCTCAAAGCAATGCTCAAAGTCTTTGGATGAGGCACTGTGTTTATGGTCATTTGGCAAGTGTGACTGAACAGCTTTCTTAACACAAGTTACCCAAGGCAGACTGGTTGTTCTTATACCAACATACTGTTCCTTTTACTCACACATTGTGAGGGGACAGCAAGCCCACTCGGAATGTGCGAGAAGCAGAAATCAGATCCAGTCATGAATTTCCTCTCAACTTGTTTGTAATACCACACTGAAATGTATTTTTATATTTAAATCCAAAACAAAAGCAATACTTAAAAGAAAAACCTGCCATTCAAAAAACAAGGCTTAATCAAGATAGCTCCTGAAGCCCTACCCACATTAGAACACACTTAAAAAAAAAAAAAAAGATTTTCACAAAGAACGCATCCCCTTTAACAGCAGCTTTCAGTGTTAAATCCAATTCCTCTCAACACACACAAGCATCTGAACAAGTTCACAAACCACAGGGAAAAAAAAAATTAATAAGAGGATGGTTTATGATATGGTTCTTATAACACACATACCATCCATGCTGCTTTTTGCAACTGGTAGCTAAAAGCAGGTCACAAAGCTTAGTAAGGTATTTGCTAAACCTATTTGAAAACCATTTCTAACCTGATTGTGGACAATAATCACACTACTCTGGGAGGGCGAAGTAGTATATGAGATGGATAGATAAGGTACAAATATCTACCCACACCACTCCTAAGCAGCATTCAAGGCATCACACTTGAAAAGTACATAAGCATATGCACAAACTACAGTATAGGAGCTTCTTAAAACACAGGTAAAAAAATTCTTGCATTTCCCACAGGAAATGGTGTGTAACAGCCAGGGTGGCAGCAATTTAATCCCATGTTGTAAATACAGTCACACTACACAGAGAGAGCTCTTGCTCATACCTAGTATACAGCCTGCAGTCATACTGAAAACTCCCCACATCCTAACTGCCCCAGGGGTTCTGCAGGATGTAAGCACCTCAGAGTAAAGTCAACTCATAACATGGACAAGCTACTACAAGTTCTGTCCAAACCTGTAATCATCATGTTCTGGTGAATGACGTGTTCGAAGACAGAATCATCCAAACGTCCCAGGAGTGAGAAAGGACCAGGGCAGCACCACACTGTTACCAACACACTTTCCATGGCCTCAGGCAGAGGCACAATTATGACTCCTTTTGACAACTGGACTGCAGGTAGTGGCCAATGATGCGATCATCAGCATCATCATGACAGCCAATGAGCTCATCTGAAAGTAACAATCAAACCGCACAAAAGTCCTAGGTCTGACCTCCTGCCTCTGGGGATAGATAGGAAAGGCCAAAATACCACGATTACAGGTCACATTATAAAAGCCTTAACAGCAGCTATCCCTCTGCAATGACCTTTTTGCTTCATTCTCCTGCTTAGTCTCATGCAATTCTGGGCTAAAAAGGAAGCCTGCTATGATTTGGGGTGTTGACAGAAGTGGGTATAAGGCAGAAGGACGAAACTAAATGCGAGTTAGGAAGACCACTGTAGAACACTGCTAGAGACAGAAACAGAGCTATTCTGCTAGAAATCCAGTTTTACCAAACCAAGACTAAAGATCTTAATAGGTTACCAAAAAGTGTCAGAGTATTTAACCAGTATGTTATATAGGACTATTTCTGTAGGGCTACATAAGCCGTTGACCTTATCATCCTTTAATGCACCCTGAAAACCCCTAAACAGATTTTACTCTTTACATAGTTTTATCCAATACCAGCAACCCAGGTAAGAGTGCAGACCTCCAAAAATCCTGGTGCTGGAGGGCTCAAAGATCAGTTACAACAAGAATAAAGGAAAGAGGAACCTAGAAAGGAACCCCTGGTTTGAAATATATATATAAATATTGAATCCTCCTCCTTTTTTCTCTTTTTCTTACTACTTTGGGAATTAAAATCTGCCACACCAAAAGAAAAACATGTATTTCAGTCCCATTTTCTCTGGTCCCAATGACACTCAAGCTGAATGCTTGGAAGAAGGGGTAAAATTCAGGAAGAACAAAGGCCAACTGCAGACACTTCCTAAGCCTGACGAAGGGTATTTGTACCCAAAAGTGTGCAAAGAATATTTTTTTCCAACTATCTAAGTTGGTCTAATAAAAGATATCAGATTTACCCAAGAACCTTGTCTGCCTGTGTCCTTAGACCAACATGACTACAACATATATCCCTAAAATCCTTTAATGCACTTAACTGCACAACACAGTACTGTGTGGAAAGCTTTTTTTCATCTCAAATTACAAGCATTTTATGCCCTGAAACAAATAGTTAGTGCAATTAATCATCGTTTTGTGCAACTGCAGTGCTATGTTTTCCTAAAGAAGATATGCTAGGAAAGAAGTTTTCTGTAAATTTAAAGGCACGTAGCAGGTTAACCATAGTTAAAAATCACTCAACACAAATAGTTCAGCTCTGAGTCAGCAGAGCCTGTCTAGAATTGCAAACGGGAGAGCCTGAACCTCACACAGGGAGCCCCCCAAGAACATTTCCCTAATTCTAACATTTCTCCCTCACACCCACTCAGCCCAAATTTTTCTCAGTGCCCCATTTCTTGGATTGGGCCAGTTGTCACAGAAGCAGCTCCACTGCAAAAAAAAAAACCCCCAAAACTCTACCTTCTTTAGTTAACTGGATACAGTTAAGAAACAGTCAAGCAATCAAATATCATCCCAACTGGCAAAGCACTTACAAAGGTGTTTAGAGCAGTGATTGAAATCAGGAGGTACAAAGTCACACCTACATAGCAAAGAGCTGTAACTGTACCTGTCAACTTCTATAAATATAAAAAAAAAAAAATCATGCAATTTCTGCCATCAGTGCCACTGAGTAAAGAACTCCACTTTAAATAGTCTATATTGTCATTCTAGGTTCCCTTCATTTTCAAGAACAAATGTATTGATCCAAGATGCATTATATACACTGCAAACCAATTCACTGCAGACTGGTGAGCCATTGTATCCTTTTACACCATGACCCTATGTAGATAACCTTGCATTTACAAAGCAGCCTTTCCTCCTTCAGAACTTTAATACACTTGACCCTTTGGTGCTTGACCCTTTTGGTCAAGCACCAAACACACTCAAATGGCTTCTCCAAAAAATGAAACACAGCAGCTCTTCAAACGCACATAGCAGCCCCCCACAGTTCTAGGAGAAAAGAATATTTTTTTATATATAAAAAAAATTTTTAAATTTCCCTTATTTTTTAAGGGAAATTTAAATTGGAATTGAGATGCAACGCTAGGGCTAACAGCTGTAATTTTCAAGAAAAATATTATCTTTAATACCAGGACTGTTATGGACCTTGGACTTTACATCTTATCTGAGGGAAAGATGATGCTTGAATTGTTTTCTTAATCAAGTTTGGCATTGTTTCAGTATCAATTCAGTAACAGCCACCTAGTGAATCATTTCCTGCAGTTCCATGCTCTCCCTTGGGGAAAGCTGTGGAGAAAGAGGTGATCCCATTCAGCTACTTTCCAAACCCAACCCTGTTTAACTTATACAAGGCAAGTAGCCCGCAGTAAAATAGCTGCAGGCTACAGCCAGAATTAACTACACTTGTATGCAAACTGATATGCCTGCTCTTTCCACACATTTTCTGCCATTCTTGTCTATCCACGTAGTAAAATCTCTTGTCCAGGCTCCTCATCTTGTTTCAGGATGACCACAACATCCTTTTCTTTGGCCTTGACAAACACAATCTTGCCCCGATCAGAGCCATTCAGAATCGTGCTAGAAGACCATTTTCACAGCTCCTCACCTTGGTCAGATAAGACTCTTGCATCCCTACAGTGGCTGCTGCTCCTCCTCTACTGCATCACACTGAAGCACTGTTCTCCACCTAGTCTCCTCTTTCTAAGGTTCTAGGGCACTTACACATGTGGGGAGTCTGCTCCAACACACTGGAAATCCAGCACTTCGGAACAGAATCGAGTCTGCCAGCATACATAAATTGATGCACTCTGGCAGCCTTGCATGTCATGTGCATCAGCAGCACAGCATGCCTCTGCACTGAGAAAATGGCACCAGCACGCTTTGAACTAAAATATGTTCAATGTGCTTTAGTTCAAAGTGTACCACCAACATTCTCAATGCAGAGGCACGCTGCACCACTGATGCATGCTTTTGACATGGCACCAAGCGCTTTTCATTAGCGAAGCTCGCTAATTAAAAGCGCCCAAAGCTAGGTCAGGAGCACATGTAAGAATGCCCCTGATGACCTACCCCACCTCATCTAATCACCTCATCTGCTATTGAGCAAGAAAAATTCCTGCCTCCAAGCAACTCATGATTTCACCACTACTTGCTAAATTTTCAAAACAAGCATCTTGGTGCTTTCCCCCCCTCTTACCTGTCATGCATGGCAACAGCTCACCATAAACAACCATAAAGCTACCTCATTATCCTCCAAATCTCTCAGCAGCACTCCCTGTCATGAGACTACAAAAATGCTTGCCAAGCCAGGACCACTGCTTGTAATGCTAATACTATTTCTGTTTTATATTCCACACCTGTCTATAACCTCACTGCCTGCCTTGTGCCAAGACCAAAATCTATGGGACAAGAAGATTTTATTCTGTTTGTACAGCACTTTGATTCAGGATAATGGCTCTCAGGCAACCAAAGTAACATTAAATGATTATGTATTTATTAGTGAAAAGGTTGGGAAGAATTCTCCTTTCCGTCTTCTCCCAAAGATCTATTTTACTTATGTTTTGGAAAAGAAACCAAAGGTTTGGCATAGCCTCCAAAAGAAACGCACTACCCACTTTTGAGTCAGAAAAACAGACGAGCCAAACAAGATGTCTCTGTTGTAGATGAAGGCCCCAAGTTAACTATTACAAGTCGTTTTTCCTAAATGTTGAGTAATGGCCAGCACAGCCACATCAAAATGTCTCCCAGGTTTTGAGATTTGTTGTGCTATGCAATTGTAAACAGATGGAGCCCAATCATGCAAGATGCTCAATACTTCACCCGCATTAAAGCTTTTAATATCTGTAGGCTCAGATTCCATGTAATACAAATCCTCAGAGAAAGTCATGGTTTAGCTCTTCTGCTGTTTCTCAATTTGGGATCCTCCCTCCAGTCTCAGCCAGTCAGGGCAAGAAAGATTTCTCACTAGCCATAAACAAACCAGGCAAGAACCGCTGAAAGGAAATGGGTTTCCAGCTCCAGGATAGTTTAAGAGCAAGGTCATACTTCCTTTGCCTTTATGTGTGGGTTTTGCACAACTGTTAGTCACCACACAGCATGTGGAAGCTATTTCTGCCATTTACCTTGGACAATAACTAACAAGCATTCATTGCAAGAGTTCCTTGGACCTTTTGTAGCCAAACATCCATGACTGATCCTCCACTTCTGAGGTAAAAATCTTTTGACATCTGCTTCAGTTTCCCATTGTTATACCAGCTACAGATTATGAGACATTCATATGAATGACATATTGCAAATAAGTAACACTAATCAATCATCTCATGGTTATTTAATTCAGGATGCAGAGGAAAGGAAGGATGGAGAGCAGCAGAATAGGGACCCTGGCCCTCAGAAAAGCAGGCTTCGACTCATTCAGGGAGCTTATGGGCAGGATCCCCTGGGAAGCCAGACTGAGGGGGAGAGGAATCCAGGAGGGCTGGATGTACTTCAAAAGATGCCTTACTAAGAGTGCAGGAACAAGCCATCCTGATGTGCAGGAAGACTAGAAATTAAGCCAAGTTGTCTTCTGCCATAGTAGGGAACTCTTCAGTAAACTAAATAACAAAAAGGAAGCTTATAAGAAGTGGACACTTGGACAAATAACTAGGGAAGACTATAAGAGCATTGCTTGGGCATGCAGGGATGAAATTGGGAAGGTGAAAGCACAACTGGAGTTGCGGCTAGCAAGGGATGTGAAGGGTAACAAGAAGGGTTTTTACAAGCATGTCAGTAGCAAGAGGAGAATCAGGGAAAGTGTGGGTTCCTTACTGAACGGGGCAGGCAACCTTGTGACAGGATGCAGAAAAGGTTGAAGTGAACTCATTGCCTTTTTTGCCACAATCTTCACAGTCAAAGTTAGCTCCCAGACTATTGCATCAGGCAGCACAGTTTGGGAAGGAGGGGGAGCAACCCTTAGTGCTGAAAGAACAGGTTAGGGACTACTAGAAAAGCTGGACATGTACAAGTCCATGGGGCTGGTTGGGATGCACCCAAGGGTGCTGAGGGAGTTGGCTGATGGATTGCAGAGCCATTGGCCATCATCTCTGAAAACTCAAGGCAACCAGGAAAGGTCCTGGATGATTAGAAAAAGGGCCCATATTTAAAAAAGGAAAAGAAGAGAATCCAGGGGACTGCAGACCAGTCAGCCTCACCTCAGTCCCTGGAACAATCACAGAGCAGATCCTCAAGCAAACCATTTCTAAGCACTTGCAGGAGAAAAAGGTGATTAAGAACAGTCTGCATGGATTCACCAGGGGCAAGTCAGGACAAGGTGACTGGCTCTGTGGATGTGGGGAGACCAGTGGATGTGGCATACCTTGATTTTAGCAAGGCTTTTAATATAGTCTCCCACAGCATTCTTGCAGGCAAGCTAAGGAAGTATGGGCTGGATGAATGGACTGTAAGGTGAACAGAAAACTGGCTGGAGCATCAGGCTCAGACAGCAGTGGTCAATGGCTTGATGTCTAGTTGGCAGCCAGTATCATCAAGTGGAGTGCCCCTGCCCCAAGGATCAGTCCTGGGGCTGGTTTTGTTCAGTGTTGGCATCAACAACTTGGAAGATGGCACAGAGCACACCCTCAGCAAGTGTGCAGAGGACACCAAGCTGTGGGGAGTAGTAGATATGCTGGAGGGTAGGGCTGATTCAGAGTGACCTAGACAAATTAGAGGATTGGGCCAAAAGGAATCTCATGAGGTTTAACAAGAACAAGCGCAAAGTCTTGCACTTAGGTCGGGACAATCCCATGCATCAGTACAAGCTGGGGGCTAACTGGATGGGCAGCAGCTCTGCAGAAAAGGACCTGGGGGTTATTATGGACAATAAGCTGAATGAGCCAGCAGCATTCCCTTGTTGCAAAGGCAGCCAACAGCATACTGGGCTGCACTGGTAGGCATGTTGCCAGTAAGTCAAGGGAAGTGATTATTCCCCTCTATTCAGCGTTGGTGAGGCCACATCTGGAGTACTGTATTCAGTTTTGGGGCCACCACTATAGAAAGGATGTGGACAAACTGGAGACAGTCCACCAGAGGGCAACAAAAATGGTGAGGGGGCTGGTGGACATGACTTCTGAGGAAAGACTGAGAGAACTGGGCTTATCTAGTCTAGAGAAGAGAAGATTGAGGGGGAATTTGATAACAGTCTTCAACTACCTGAAGGCAGGTTTGAAAGAGAATGGAGCTAGACTGTTCTCAGTGGTGGCAGATGACAGAACAAGGAGCAATGGTCTCAAGTTGCAGCAAGGGAAGTTTAGGTTAGATATTAAGAAGAGTTTTCTCACTAGAAGGGTAGAGGGTAGTAAAACACTGGAACAGGCTACCACCTCTCTGGGTAAAAGCTCCATCCTTTTTTAAGGTTTTTAAGATCTGGCTAGACAGAGCCTTGGCTGGGATGATCTAGTTGGGGATGCTCCTGTTTTGAGCAGGGGGTTGGGCTAGATGACCTCCTGAGGTCCCTTCCAACCCTAGCTTTCTGTGATAATCAAAGCATGTGCCACACCAGCTTACTCCACCTGCCAAAGGCTGGTTACAGGAGACAAATGTCACAGAACATTAATCCACTGTGCTACTTACCATTCTTCCTTTCACTTAGTGGGGGAAGGTTGGGATTCCGGCCATGATGGAGATTCAGGGTCAGCTCGGGCTGCAAGGAGAGTTCCTGCAGCTCATTGGCAACGGCTTCACTCTGGGGGCTTGGTGCCGCCGAAAGCGACACCAGCACCGGCTCATCATCATTTTCACCTGCCCCTCCTCCGTCCAGCCCATTGCCAGCAATGACGGAAGGGGGCAGGCACACAACGCCGGAGAAATCCACTTTGGCTTTCGTGATGGCAACCTACAAGAGAAACAACACAAGTTTGGACCTTATCATAGGGAAAGCTATCCCACTTCCATAATGATATGTGGCATCTCTGCCTTGAAGTCCAGCACACCATTTCTAGATGTAGTTTACTATTTGCATTATTGTTGTCAATTTAGACTCAGTCATTCATACCCACTAAGCCTATTAGCCTCGAGACTTGCATGGCATTTTCCTGTCCTCAACAGGGTCATTCACTGTGTCCGATGATCAAACAAGCTACTAACCACTGTTATCCTTCTGTTTTTTATACAGATCCTACAACAGTACTCCTAACCTTAGTTATACCTCCTCATTTTTTGAAGGAAGGAAAAACAGCATTAGTTTTACGGTGCTTAGCATCTGCCAATGAAACATGTTTAATAAGAATTAAGGACTCTCCTTCCTTAAAATAAATAAATAATATAAAAACTTGCTTGAAATCCAGTCAAGGGAGTGAAAACAAGTGGAGTAATTTCAGGTAGTATACCTGTTTCTCTGGCTCTCAGATAATCTGATTTTGCAAGCACATCCACACTTTAAAATAAAATACTGCCCCTCTTCCCCCATTCTTAGGGTTACCATACATCTGGGTTTTCCTGGACAGGACCTCTTTTTGAGTCCTCCCATCTTCATCAAGGCAGTTTTTTTAAATATCAAAAAATGTCTGGGATTTTGTTCCGCTCAGTTTTTTCCTGGCACTTCCCAGCCTGCCCTAGCAAGGAGCTGCTTGGGGCTGGGGGGAGAGGGTGATTAGAGGTACGGGGCATCACGTGGTGGTAGGACAAGCCCCAACAGCTACATGCAGGTAAGTCTGTGGGGGGCCATGGCTTGTGGACTGTCCGGGAGGCATGTGCATGCGTGCATGCGCACACACGTGTGTGGCAGGAGATGGGTGTGTGAAGGGGGGTGAGTACCTGTGGGTACGCTGGGGCTGTGGCAGGCTAAGGGAGGCACCTGCCCTCCCATGGCAGGGGAAGCAGGTAGGGGGGCCCTTTGGGGACAGCAGAGAGCTGCACAGCCAGGCTGGTGGCACTGGGATTGGTGCCTGTGCTTGAAGGGGTGGGGCCACTGGGAGATGCTGCAGGGCTGTGGGGGGAGCAGGCAGCTGCAGGTCAGAAGCACAGGGCACCGGCAGGGCCAGGGGGCTGCAGGTCAGGAGGAAGAGGCACCAGCATAGTCTGAGGGGAGGGGGTGGAGTACTGTGGGTCAGGAGTGAGAGGCAGCAACAGGGCAGGGGGGGGCGGGGCATGGGCATATCACTGTCCCACCACCAACCACCACATTACCTGCCCCCCTCCCTGACAGGTCACCTCTTTCTTGAAACCAGAAATACGATTATCCTTCCCATTCTGCAAGCAACCCATACAAACAGCGCAAATGAATTATGGAGGAAAAAATAACTGTACATAAAGTAAAAAAGTGTTCCCTTGTAATTTATGAGCTACAGTTTTTATAAAGAATAAATCAAGAATCAATTATCCAAACAAACTATTCAAATATGTGAACATTTAAAACCCACATCTGTGTTCCCATACAGCTGCCTTTCAAATGGATGAATATGCACGATGCAAATATAATCAGCTGGACAGCTTCAAGATGAGAACCAGTAATGAAAGATGTACTACCATTAACAGGAGCTTGTACTAAGGCATTCACATCCAGCTTTGATGGAGGTGAGGGTTTCCTGCATCTCTATCACTGCTGCTTCTACCTGTCCAGGCTCACAGGCCAAGACTGCATTAACTCTAGCTGTGCTGCAGCTATTTATCAGCCTGTAGGATTTTCAGAAGCTAAGCTTCCATTAAAGAAATGGAGATAACAATGAAGGCAACAAAATGAGATCTGCAGGAAATCCCTATCTATGTTTTAGAAACTATTCAAACAAAACAGTGCAAAAGTCTCACCTAAACAAAAACTTTTCCCTTTAGAGATTAAACAGCAGGGGGGTTTCCGTTAAAGATAATTGTACTTCCCAGTCTTGGTGGCTAGGGACAGAAATTGTTAATAAACCAGTATAAGTGACCAGAAACCAGTTCAAATCTGTAACATAACGGAAGTTCAGTACACATAAACCTCTTTCAAAATGGCTGAAACCTGTTTAAAATAAATCTGGATGGATGTAGTTTTACACTTAACTGCTTTAAGTTAGAAGTTCAATAAACTGATTTGTCTCCGGTCCCCTCCAGATTCAGAAGTTAACTCATAGTGTCCACCCCCCGGATCACAGGATGCTTTGTACCTCCCCCACAACATCCCCTGCCCCTCACCGGGGGCAGCCTCGCCTTGGCCCAAGCTGTCTGCTCCAGCTGAGCAGGAAGGCGTGCTCTAGCACTCCCCAGCTTCTGGCCTGAGCCACTGCAGGCACATGGCTGCATTTCCAGAATCAAAAGTGAGTATCTGTTCACTTGCTTAGACTAACCTGCAAAGATTAAATGGATTCAGCCTTAGGGCTTTAACTGTCTGTACTTTGCTGATACGTGCATCAAGTCCAGAAGCCACTGTATTAACTGTTAACCTAAACCAGCCTGAAATGGGTTCAAACAAACCCACCTTTTTGTGGGCAAGGCTTCAGTCTTTGGCTAGGTACAGGCATTCAAAAAGCCTGAGACTGAATCGATATAACTTAATTGGTTTTTTGTAAGCAGCATAGTTTATGTCAGTGGCAAACAGGATGCACATCTGCCCTCTGGCTGAGGGGCTGGGGGGAGGGCACACAAATCAGAATGGGTTCTGCCATTTTTAAACCAATACGTGGGCACCAAAACTTCTGTTCTGTTACAGGTATAGCCCCGTTTTTGATCATTTATACCGGTAAAAGTATGTCTGTACCTGGCCTGGAGCTTCCATTTCCCTGTTTTTCTTTGCTACCTCAAAGATCATGATTAATGTTTGCAAAGTACGTTAACAAGAAACAGCAAAGTGATAAGCAGTAGTATCCTTGCCTCAGAGGAATGCATACCAAACGCTCAAACCATCACTTAGAATTGCTGCAATGTATACAGACTAATTTCAGCCATGCTGTCATAGCCATCCCTAGAATTCCGCATCATGATCTCAAGACAAACTATGGAAAGTTGGATGGATGGTCTCCAAGTACATCAACTGGAAAAAAAAAAAAGTGCTTGTTCTAACAAGAGAAATTAAATAGACCTAAAGTCAGCTACAAGATTAAGCATGTGTTTTACTTCATTTCACTTCAGCTAGAATAAGACTATCCCTTCCTTGATACATTTTCTAACAAATCTTGTTCATATTCATTTGAAAGCATAATTTCAAAGGTGATCTGCAAAGAGAAAAATGGGCTTCCACACCTTTTGTTTCTTTATGATGTGAAAACAAAGCCCGAAAATTTTTCTTCCCCACTGCCTCCAAGATGTAAAATAGCAGAGTGTGATGGGACATACAGACCCTGCATAGGCTAGGAAGAGTTAAACAGCAGTGGACTGTCAGCTCCACCCACTGCCCTTCTACTTATACTGGGCCTGTAGAAAAAGACTAAATTTGACAGATCTTCCTCTTTTGGCAGCTGCCTAGAGAGGGACCTACTGCTCTCAGTTGAGGAGAGAGGGCTGGCTAGAACAATTGTAAAGCAAGACTAACGCCAGATAAAATCTCCCTGAAAGAGAGGTAGCTCCACACTAAACCTGATGTCAATAGTTAAGCAAGCCCATAACAGGGGATGCCCCACCTGGGAGGAAGAGAGATGCAAACTGAGCACAAAGAGTGGGCAGATGAACAGCTTCAGATAGAGTTGAGCTTAACTGGGATAAACTTCCCTTATTGTGTCTGCTTAGACACTAGAACAGTGATGTTCGCTACCCCAGCAGAAAAGACAGAACTTTTGTAATTGCCTGACCAGAGCAACTGATCCACAACCACTGGAGTATCCTCTGGGGGAAACTGAGGCAGACAGACTGCAACACACTGCCCAGTCTACCCACTGGGAAGCAGTGACCCAATAACAAATGCATCCCAAACCTCGCAGCAGCTAACAAAAAGGTTGGACTGGGAGTGGACCCATCTTACTTTCTTCCCTAAAAGATCCTTCCCCTTTCAGGTAGAGAGAAAGGATTCAAAGCTATCACACAACATGTTTAAACTAACAAAAATAGGCAGCATGTCAAAGCATGTTCACTAAACATGTTTTAACATGATTTTAAAACAAAACTGGACCTGGAGTAAGCAAACCAAGTTGTATTTAAAACCATGTTAGCCAATACACTGTTTTAAAGCAAAACTTGTTTTCCTAGTCTAGGCACACCCAGATTAGCCAGACACCGATCTGCGAGATACACACTCCCAGGCCACCACATCGAATTTAGCAGGATGACAAGGGTTGGGTTCCTCACAAAGGAGTTGCATAGGAGCCATGCAGATCTCCTTAATGTACCGCTCTTTCATCATTTTCCAACATACATATTTCCTATTCTACTTGATGTGCCGTTTAAAATTTGTATAAGAGTCTCCATCTCCCATTGCAGACTACTTTATAAAATCCCTAAAAAGGCAAAGTATCAGTCTAACAAATGCAGAATTCCTGGCTCTGCACAATCTTGATTGTTCCAGACCATGGCCCTGACTCCAACAAGTCTCAGGGAAAGAGGACATTTTTGAACAGCAGGCTATAAAGCTTGCCGAAAGTCAATTACCACCGGAACGGAAGAAAACCAGGTTGGGCAGTAGTTTGTTAAGTTTGCTGTGTTTGCAAGTAATTTGGTACAGCAAATATGGTATAATGCTTCAAATGTTCTACTGTGAGATATTAAAACCTCTGTTTGGTTGCCAGAAGTCTGATCTTAAGAGCTAGAGACAGAAGTTACACATAAACCAGTTTAAAAGGCTGAAACTGGTTTAAGATCAACCTGGCTGAATGTAGCATCAGACTTAACTGATTTGGGTCAAACCAGTTTATTAAACTTCTGTCCCAGGCCCCTTCCTGGTTCAAATTAAAAGTCACAGTTCCCCAGCATCCCAGCATGCTTTGCAGCCCTGGACTGTGCCACTGCTCCAGAGAATAGGGCTGGTTCTGCCCCTCTGCTCTCCAGCTGGAGTAGTGAGGACTGGCTCACCAACCTCACTGGCCCCCTCAGGCAAACCCTAGCTCCTGGAGGCTGGGGCCAGGGAAGGAAGTTAAACTCACCGTGTCATCCCGTGTGCATCATCCCCCACCCCCCCCCAAGAGTACAGAGCTGCACTGCCCTGCTGGTTTAGTTAGTGCTGGCTATGACTGTGGACTACAAATCCCAGAGGCACCTGAAAGAGGAAGTGATAAGCAACCCTGCAGAGTCCTGCTGCTCTGATTGGTGACTGCAAATTCCAGACCTGGGGGCAGCAGGAAGAGAAAGTGAACACACAGACCATTCTGGCTACCTGCCAGGAGGCCATGCTGTAGCACCCCTTGCTTCTGGCCTGAGCTACTGCAGGTATGTGGCTGCATTTCCTGAATCAAAAGTAAATTTCTGTTCATTTGCTAATTGGTTCAATTTTTGCAGCTTAGACTAACCAGCAAAGACCGAATCAATTCAGCCTTGGGCTTTCTGACGGTCTATACTTAGCCAAAAGGTTTCCCACAATGCATTCTTTCCCACTTCCAGGGGAGTAGCATTTTACAGGGATTAGGCTGTTACACATATTAATATTTACAAATTAATTACATATTTAAAATGTTTGTTTTGCTGCCATTTTTAAAGACTTAGTATTTTTTCACAGAGAAATAGCATGTCCTGAGGATACAGGTGTGTGAACAGAGGCAGAAGATCAACAATAACCTTCCCTTAAAGGTAAGGGAGACCTCTGTTTATATCCCTATTTTCCCATTGCTGTCAAAAGCCTTTTGTCACAGCAACATCCACTGAAAGTTTAACTTAGCTTCCTCTGGAATACGTCACAGATGACATAAGCATTGAGCAAGGGCAATGAGAGAATAGAGTTGCTACAAAAGTAGCACAAAAGGCACATGAACCACCATGTTCCATTTTCTCCTTGGTTTTGAATGCAAACAACTTCTGCTTCAGACATAGTAGGAACCACTTGTGTGTGCAAATATTAAGATTTTGCACCATTACTTAACATTTTTTGATAAAACTGCTGGTAATAGAGAGATGAGGATGAGATGCTTCTGCATGGGAGGAGAGTAAGGTTTCCCGAGTCTACCCAAATACATATAAGCACACATGCATAGAAAGGCTTGACGCTGTAGCTGTTGGTTGTACAACATTAGCTTCAGCAAAAGTATCACACAGTACAGGCAGAATTCAGCCTCCAACAAAGAAGATGAATATTTTAAATGGGGTGGGGAGCCATCCAGCATCAAGTACTACAGAAAGCCCTCAAAGGAAACAAATAACAATCAGGACAATGAAAAAGGAAATAGGAGGAAAAAACCCAGCCATTCAGTTTCTCAGGGCAAGAGGAAGCTGCTGTGAAGAGCATTCCTGTCTCTCTCTCCTTGAAATGTTTGCATTTTGGGGGTTGAGTTGCCAGGGTAATAGTAATTTCCTACCAATTTAAGAATTGCTAAGCAACCTGCATCGGCTAACAGCAACAGCATGTGTGTGCAGCTGGGCTATTTTGGGAAGAAGCAGATACTATTTTTTTTTTTAAACTTAAGAGCAGCCTTCTGTTAAATGACTGTGCCAGCTGTGATCAGCTGGCCAAAAGAAGAGGTAATCCTGGGGCAGAGAGGCTGTAAGTGGATCAGTCTCCGAGATGAATGAACAGAAAAGGAGAGACAATGTCACGTTGTGCCCAAAGGCAGTCGTGTCTCCCAATCATCCCAACGCTGAAAAAAAGGCCAGAAGGCGGCAATCTGTAGCATGCGGAAGGAACAGCAACACAGTAAACTGAGAGGTTGCTAGAGATCAAGAGTAAGATCTCTCTCAAGCACTCTTTTTAGCTTTAGTTTTTTAGATTTAGGAAATCACCTCCATAAAAGGCCTCACGAAGAAAGGATGCATTAAGGAATGTATTCAACATGCAGCCACTCAAGCTGCAGCTATGCATACAAGTGGAAACAGGATTCTGTTTCCAGTAAATTTAAATCCAGGTTGACTAACCTTAAGACTGAAGCCTCATCTGCCCATAATAAGGATATAGCACAGTCAGCTGCAGCACAAAAGCTTCTCAAAGACCAAATCCAACTCTGGCCCAGAAGAAACACCTTCAGGCAAGCAGTGGAGTTTAGCCTCTTGACCGCTCTGCTGAGAGGCCAAATATAAAACAGGAACTCCTGCCTTCTGGAAACTGCAGTATGATCATTTCATACAAACCACTGAACAGTCAAAAAGTAACCGTTTTCAGCTGGCAACCACAGGCTACATTAGAACTAGTGACTCAGAGATATAAGACTGCATACTCCATTTTGGACCTTGAGTCACTATCCTCCAGGCCTTCAATAAAAATATTGCAAACAAAGGCAGACAGAAAAGCTGATAAGAAATGGATGGGTGTGTTCCCACTACGTAGCTAAAGTCTCTGAGCCTGTATTCAGCCTGTCCCAAGAGCACGATGGTAGAAGACTGGCCATCTCCAAGTATCACTAGAAATCTTTTGCTCCCGGCAGTGGTGAGATCTGCATCTAGGATCCAAAACAAGACATGTTGGGACCAGTATGAAACCTTATCAGTCAAAAGGCACAAAGAGCTGTCTTAAGAGAAGTTAGGACTTGAAAGGGGAATGAGCTGGAAAGAACCTGCCTGGTGTAACTGGACTGAAAACAGCAGAGTCTTCGCAATAGTTGATGAATCCTTGTAGATAAAAGCAACTCTCCCCAATAGCTTGAAAATCCATTCAACAAGGACCAATTTCTAACACTGGAAGCAGTGTCAAACTCATTCAGCCCACCAGGCCAAATCGAGACCATGCTGCTCCTTGCTGGCGATCCAGACCTCTTCCAGCAGCAGAGCAAGCAACAGCAGCATTAACTGCCACAGATGCCTGAGGTGCTGCACGGGCTTAGGGAGCTGGGGGGGATTAAAGCAGCTGTTTTCCCTGCTGCCACCAAAATGCATCCCCAACAGGGCTTCATACCCAGGAATTTGGTGGCAGGCCCCACCCCTGCTTGGCCCTTCCTGCTCCTTCCAGGGGCCCCATAAAGCAGGTGACACTGCTTCACTGGCTAGATCTGGCCCGCATCTTTAGCACCCCTACATTTTACTCAGACCAGCAGTGCTATAATTTGAAAAAAAAAGGTTTCTGAAGACCATTGTCAAATGTCCACTTAGCTTCTAAATGCCATGAACAGCAGGCTCATAAAACTAATTCCAAGTATTACTTCAAAAACTTCACAGCTGAATACATGGTAGGAGATGTATGGAAACTTGAAAACTCCCAGAATGCTAAACCAGCATTACACATAACAAACAAGGCAGGTCAAAAGTAGCACTTGCTAAGAGTTTTAGGAAATTCATAAGTATTGCTCAGTAGGCCTGTGTGAATAGGGAAGTATTCAATTTGGATTTGGCGAATTTTGGAGGACAGTGATTCGATACAGTGATTCAAATCACCATCCCCATTCAATTGGGCCAAATCAGAATCGGAGATTCGGCACCGATTCAGATCGGCCAGGGAGAGGCAGGCACAGTCAGCTGCAGTTCTCCCGTGGCTGTGCCTGCCTCTCCCCGGGCAGGGGGAGCCACGGGAGAAACCCCCATGGCTGCCCTGCCCGGAACCACAGGTGCAGCGCGGCTCGGCAGGGCACCACATGCTGCCTGGGAACTGGGGCCACTGGGGCTGAGCAGAGCTGGGCTCCAGCTGACTGCCGGAGCTGCCCCAGTTCCCAAACAGCATGCAGCGCCCTGCCGAGCCATGGTGCACCAACACCATGGGGCATCTGCCACGCAGGTGCCAGTCAAGGGGAGTGATCCCTGCTGCCCCCCACTGCACAGAGGGGCTCTGCCACAAGCCCTCAGAGGCCCTGATCACCACTGCCACAGCCAGTGAGTGTGGGGTTTTTTTTTTGGGTTTTTTTTTAAGGGCCAGAAGACTACGGCCAGGCAGGGAAGCCATGGGGGCTTCTCCCACAGCTCCTCTGGCTGTGCCTGCCTCTGCCCTGGCAGGGGGAGCTACAAGAGAAGCCCCCATGGCTGCCCTGCCCAGCCCCATCCCCCATCCAGCCCAGCCAGCACAGGGGAGTGGGAGGGTGCGATGCAGGCGCAGCTCGCTCCAGGCAGCAGCAGGGCATAGCCCCCACTCCCAGCACTACGGCGCCCGCATCAGCACTGGGAGCAGGGGCTCTGCCCTGTCACCACTTGCCAGCCAGCGCAGACAGAACGCAGGATGTGGGCAAGGCAGTGCTGGGAGCAGGAGCTGTGCCCTGCTGCTGCTTGCCCCCTTCTGCCTGGAGCGAGC